CTCTCTCTCTCTCTCTCTCTCTCTCTCTCTCTCTCTCTCTCTCTCTCTCTCTCTCTCTCTCTCTCTCTCTCTCTCTCTCTCTCTCTCTCCTTTCATTGACATTCTCTATCTCTCTTTCCTTTTCCATCTTAATATCTCTCTGCCGTCAACACATTGTGTACTCTATCAATCAGTCACGAGAGCTAGCCTCAGCCGGGTACCTTAAATGACCAAATGATTGAATAATTTATTGATTGAATTGACTGTTTTTTTCTGATTGTGTGATTTGTCTTTTTCATTATTATTTTTTCGTTCTTCATTCCGTTGTATATTTTTTTTGTCGTCAATCTCCGTAGTCATCTTGCAGGAGTTCACGCGAAATGTTGTCGGATGAGATGTCAAAAACAAGCAGTCCAGCTGGAGCGGGAACGGCACCGGTTTCCCCTCTGCTTCGCACGCCGATGATGTACTCGTTGGCAACGTCGACCCCGACGACCGCAAGGCTGTATGCTTCATTGAATGATTTGTTTCCGGATCGTCGTCATGGGATTTCGGGTCCGAGAGGCCGCACACGGGGTGACGCTGTACTTGCACGACCGTTCACAAGGCAGCGTCTAGACGAGCGTCTAACGTCTATCCCACAACCACTACCGGTCGTGGCAACAGTTGTTTCAGCAGTGCCTTTCCACAATGAGATGGCAGCTTTCGCCTCTTCGATAGTGCCTCCGATATGGTCTGCGCCGCCCACCACGTGCGCGTTATTGCAAACCCCGATGCCTGCCATCTTTGCCCCGTTCAACTGTGTATTAGGACGACTTGCTGGTTGTTTGCCTCCGCTGCCTACATGCATGCCTTCGTACGTGCCTTCACGACCGTCATGCAATGAAGTGTGCTTCTATTCTGTTGCCCCTGTTCCTCCTGCTGTGCACCATGGGAGCGGTTTTACACGATCCGCGCACGGCGGAGCACATGCGACTTCGTGTGGCCCGAGCACATCCGCATGGCCAGAGAGGCGAGCACCTACAATGAATGACCCCGCGGTGTCTTCTCCGGTTTGCACAACATATCCAATTGGTCTAGACGTTACCTGTGGTGTGAACACTGTGCAAATAAGCCCAGTGGTTTGCGAAAGTCCGGAGGTGACGCCGACACCGTCCGGACAGCGTAGTCGATCCAATACTCCATCAAGGGAGCCACCACGGATAAGAGTGCGGAAGGACCAAAAGGAAAAACTGCAGACTATTGTGAACAATATCGCTAACGGTGGCACGTTAGAGATGACGATTGATCTGCTGTTCGAGTGGGGCCGGGATGGCATTGCGGACCACTTGTCTTCGGCGAGAGGGTCTGGACAGTCGTCTGCGAACAGGGGCAGGGGGGCATCGAGAACGACCACCTCTGGGCGCAAACCAGTTGGGAGACCTCGTGGAGGGGCTTTGAAATGGCGCGATGGGAAGCGCGGTTTTCAAGATGATGGACAGATGTTACATAGATTGACCGTGAAAGACCACGTGGCGTTGTGGGACGCTAGAGCACGTCGAGATGTTGTTTTCTTGGATCCCGTGAAACTCCTTCAAATTCTTGGGATGTTCGATAAGTCCTGTCCCGTGCATGGTCGATAAGTTCCCGTGATATTTGCAAAGGTGAAGTACCCTTGTCATATTTGCACCATCCACTTCCGATGCAAGAAGGGTTGCAAGTGGCATTGAAATTCTACTAAGGTCGGCGAAGGGGGTGTGAAGAGTTCCCGTGTCGAGACCCAAATGTTTCATTCCGCAGTTAGTTGCGGAATGACATGCACACAGCTTGACAACCTGACGCGCGGTTTGGGAATGCGTCATGTGAGCGAGGACACATTCTACAGGTTTTTCCGAGATAGTGGGCTAGGATCGAGGCGATGGGGAAGGTATGTGCGGCGCGTGGCAGAGAAAAGCTATAACAGAGTGATATTCCGTTTGAAGTCCAGCAACGAGCCGGTCGTATTGTTGTTGGACGGCCGATACGACTCCTCTCGAGATGTGCAACATTGCACGGTGTCTGCGATGGAGCTCGAATCACGGCAAATTGTTGGAACGCAAACCCTTAGGAAAGACAATGATTCGTCATGGCGTCTGGAAAAGAGGTGTATTGATATGTTGTTGAGTCGTTTGGTGAACGAGAAAAATCTCGTGATTGCGGAGGTCGTGCATGACGATTGCACAGTTGTGGACGTCTTGCTTCGCGCATTGGATATTGACTCTCAGAAGTGTTTGTGGCACAAAGCGAAGAGTTTGTTGAAACGGTTGAGAGAGGCGGTACGACGCACGAAGCTTGTGAAACTAAAGATCGTGGACGACTGTGAACACGTGCGTGAGATTCGAATGTTTACGAAGAAGGAGTTCAGTGCATGGCTCCGTGAGAAGGGTCTTCAACAACCAATCCCCGTGAACACCAAGAAAGATACAATTGTTGAATGGGTTTGGTGGACGTTATTTCCAGTGCAACAAGGGAAACCTTTGGAAATTGATGTGGTGGAGGCTGATGCGTTAGAGTCTCGTCATCCACAATGTGGCGAGGAAGTGAAGGAGTGGTTTTATGGTGCGTGCAAGTTACGTGCCTCGGAAGGCGATGGCGACGGCGAGGTACTCGCAATCCATGTGCAGCATCTGGGCAACCATTGGGCGGGCGACCACTCGATGTGCAACGACGAGCTTTCGGGACTATGCAAGGCCGCTGGCGGGAAAGAGAGGTCTCCGCTCTACGAGAAAGGAGGTAGACTTCATGTTGCTATCATGGATTGCTTGCGGGAGTTCGCCTCTGCAACAAAAATGTCTTTCTACACGCGTGCGCGATGTTCTCATTACAACGAGTGCTTCCACTCGATAATCAACAAGTTTTATTCGAAGCGTTTGAATTTTTCGAAGTCGTACGAGGCAAGAGTGGATTGTGCAGCTCTAGATTGGAATAAGAACAGAGCTCTGGAAGCACTTGGATGTGTCTATCGCAAGGACTCTAGCGTCGGTCACCGTAGAAGATCCTCGCGGCGTTGGCAGTTGCAAGCACATGACCACACATGGCGTTTTGAAATAGCACGTGCTGTTTGGGGCACTCCTCAGGTGGGTGATTGGGCGAGGCGCATGTTGCAGCAAGAGGACCTTGATGACATCATTCCGGACATTATGGATGCGGATGATGGTGTCGGATCTGCGACTGACGATGATGTCGCAACTTGTGGTATCGCTCCATCGGGCGGCGATTCGTCAAGTGCGAATTCTGACAGTGAAGACGTTTCGAGTGATGGTGATGCGAATATACTGTCCACACATCTCGACTTCGAATACGATCCTGTTGATGTGGACATCGACGCTGGACACAATGCAACAGAGGCCGACAGCGACAACCCCTCACAAGACATTTTTGTTGCGAGGATATGACCTTAGGGTTGCACGTACGACTCTCGATGGATAGGTTATCCGGTGTCATCTTTTATACCACAATTCATGGCGTATTTTTTTCATTTTGCAAGACGTGCGCACATGGGTGTGCGTGTATGCGCACGTGTGTGTATGTGTGTGCACGTGTGTGTATGTGTGTGTGTGTGTGTGTGTGTGTGTGTGTGTGTGTGTGTGTGTGTGTGT